TTTTTTTTTTTGGGTAATTAAAGATTGATATTTTTTATTTTGTTGGTGTAATTTTGGATGAGCTTCTCTTAGTTCTATGCATTGAAAAAGAGTCTTTTTATAAAATTTTATTAGTGAATTAAATAAAATAATATAAATTATAATGATATGCTGCAAGAAGGAACTCAAATGAGTTAAACATGGTAAATGCTCTAATTTTTAAATTTATATTTATGCTTCCAATTAATCTATATTTTACAAATCTTCTTACAATTCTCCACAAAATATGAAATTTTAATTTTATTTCACAAGATTTTTATATTCGAATTGTGTTTCATATTTAATTTTCTCCTAATAATAATCGGTTTATATATATTTTGTTGAACTTTTTCATACAATTTCAATACGTACTTAAGTGACCCCTCTCATTGTTTATTCTTGTTCATTTCTACAGAGTTTTCCACACAATGGAAGTAGGAGCTGCTCTTGTAGCTTCTACCTTTGAATGGTTAATCAATAAGTTGGAGTCCGAGGTCACTGATTGGTTTGAATCAAGAAAGGAGGCACGTGATGCATTAGAGAATTGGAAAAAACTTTTGCCAAACATACGTGATGTTCTTGAAGATGCAGAGAGGAAGCAATTAACCGATAAGGTTGTAAAGACATGGCTTTCAGAGCTTAGAGACATAGCTTATGATATGGAGGATGTCTTGCGAGGAGTTGAAGCTGATGCACGGAGGAAAAAATTGAATTTAAAAACTTGTGATCAAGCCAGCACCAGTAGAGCCAGAAAACTTATCCCAACACCATCATGTTTCACTGGTTGTAGCTGTATTTCCAGTGATTTCAAGGTTGATCAGGAGATTATGTCCAAGATAAAGGGCATTACTAATCAATTGGAAAAGATCAAGGAACGGAGAGATGCATTGAACCTGAAAATTGAACATGGGACCAACAGAGCAGTTACACAAAGGATTCCCACTACTGGGGTGCCTGAAAGTCATGTTTTTGGCCGGGTAAAGGATAAGGATGTTATTCTTCAAAAGTTGTTAATTAATGAAGATAGTACCAAATGCTTTTCTGTGATTCCCATCGTTGGAATGGGAGGATTAGGGAAGACTACACTTGCTAGTCTTGTTTATAATGATGAAAAATTGGAAGGTGTGTTTGGGCCAAAAGCATGGGTTTGTGTCTCTAACGACTTTGATGATCTTCGAATAGCAAGATCTATTTTGGATCAAATGAATGTGAAATCTGATTCAAACGATCCTGCAGTGATTCACAGCAAGATGAAAGAAATGTTGTCTGGACAGAAGTTTTTACTTGTACTTGATGATGTTTGGAACAACAACTATCACCTTTGGAACAGATTACAAGGGCTTTTCATGTTAGGAGCATCCGGAAGCAAAATAATTGTTACGACACGCGACGAGAAAGTCGCGAAAAGCATGAGAGGAGATGATTGGGTTTATCATCTTGATTTCTTTCCAGATAATGAGTGTTCGTCATTATTGGCCAGACATGCACTAGAAACAGAAAATTTTGATTTATGTGGGCATCTCAAAGGAATCGGTGAAGAAATAGTGAAAAAATGCAAAGGTCTACCTTTGGCTATAACAACCATTGGAGGGCTCCTTCGTGAAGATCGGTTAAATCCTAACAAATGGAGGGAAGTATTAACCAGTGAGATATGGAAAGTATCAGAAGAGATAGGTGGAGTTCTTCCAGCTTTGAGATTGAGCTATCATCATCTTCCTTCTCATTTAAAACAATGTTTCGCCTTTTGTGCTATATTTCCGAATGATTTTCAGCTCAATAAGGATGATTTGGTCCTATTGTGGATGGCGCAGGGGTTTCTTCGACAACATCAACAAATAGATGGAGCGAAGAAAATGAAAAGCTTGGGTCATCAATACTTCCGTGATTTGTTATCGAGATCATTTTTCCAGCGATCACGCAGCAATTCATCATTCTTTGTCATGCATGACCTTGTGATTGAGTTAGCTCGAGATGTTGCTCCAGAAACTTGCTACCAACAAGATATGTCAGTCAACAAGAAACTTGAAGTCACTCGCCATTTTTCATTCTTTCCTAATGTGTTTGATGCTCATCAAAGATTTGAAATGATGGAGAAAATGAAGAGTTTGCGGACATTTCTACCAACTACGAGATGTGTATTTAACTTCTCATCAAATGAAGTGGTGCTTTATTTGTTTTCAAACTTGAGATGCTTAAGGGTCTTGTCTTTCGATGGTTATCCGATAAAGAAGGTTCCAGATTCAATTGGAGATTTGAAGCTTTTGTGCTATATTAATTTATCTGGGACTGAAATCCGAAGTCTACCTAATTCTGTGAGTTTTCTTGTATACTTACAGACATTGATATTAAGATTTTGTATGAAGCTTACTCAGTTGCCAGAGGGTATCGTGAATTTAGTTGACTTGCTTCATCTTGATATTACTAATACAATGAGATTAAAGGAGTTACCATCAGGAATTGGCGAGCTGACAAATCTTTTGACTCTATCCAAATTTGTTATTGGAGGTGGGCTGAGACTAAGACAGTTGAAAAACTTGAAGCAACTTCAAGGCAGGCTACTCATCTTAAATCTACATAAAGTCTTAGATTTTCGAGATGCTAGTGAAGCCAACCTTCATGAGATTGAGGACCTTGATGAGTTAATGTTGCAATGGATTGATGATTTCCAAACTTCACGAAATGTAAGCAATGAAGATAAGGTACTCTGTCAGTTGAAACCTCCTTGCAATTTGAAGAAGTTTACAATCATGTTCTTTGGTGGACTGGAATTTCCATCTTGGATAGGTAATCCATCATTCTCCAAATTGGAGTGCCTGGAACTATGGGGTTGTGAAAACATCACTTTATTACCACCCCTTGGGCAATTACCATCGCTAAAAGAATTGATCATAAGAGGCATGCCTAAGTTTACTGGAGATAACTCCTTTTCTGGTAGTTTTTTATCACTAGAGAAGCTGACATTGGAGGACTGTCCCAAGTTGATTGGAAAATTACCTAGCCACCTTCCTTTTCTCAAAATTCTCATGATTAAAAATTGTTCTCACTTAAGTTATTCACTACTGAGTCTCCCATCACTTAGAGAGCTGAAAATAACAGGTTGCAATGAGGCAGTTCTTAGGAACATGATAGATGTCACTTGCCTCACATCTTTGGAGATTAAGAGAATTACAAAGCTTGCCTGCTTGCCTAAAAGCATAACACAGTTCTTGACAGCTGTTGAAACAGTAGACATTAAAGAATGTGATGAACTTACTTGCTTGTGGGAGGATGGAGCTAGCCTTGCTAGTCTTAAGTGTCTGAGGATTCAGGAGTGCCCTTTAGTTGTATCCTTGCCAGACCTGCCTTCTAGTATTCAAATTTTGAGTTTAAGAAAGTGTGATAACCTTGATTGCCTGCCTAATGGACTGCATGCTCTCACCTGCCTTAAGGAATTGTCCATACAAAAGTGCGAAAAATTTGTGCGCTTTCCAGTAACTGGCTTGCCATTGCATCTCAAAAAGCTTCAGCTTGAGGATTTGGTGGTTTTGGAGTCATTGCTTGATGGATTGATGAAAATAGGGGATGGAGGCAACAATATGCTGCAACTTGAAGAATTAGTCATTAAAGGGTGTGAGCAGCTCAAATCTTTTCCTAGAGACAAGTTACCCAGCACTCTGAAAAGGTTGTACATCCAAAATTGTGAAAATTTAGAGTCCTTTCCAGAGGGAGTGAATCTTGATCATTTGCAGATTGATAATCTCCCATCTCTGAAGTGTTTTTTCCTAGTTCCAAGTTACCAAGTGCTCTTAAGAGGCTAAGAATTAGGAAGTGCAAGCAATTGGAGTCACTTCCAGATAGGTTACTGCAAGATTGTACACAACTTGAAGAGATGCAGATTGTTATTGTGAAAAATCTCAAAAGCTTACCTATTGATTTCGTGCACAACCTCAGCGGTCTTGTTGAATTACAGTTCTATTCTTGTGAAGGTTTCGAGTCCTTGCCACAAATGGACCCGTCGTCCGTCCCCAATCTTAAAACTTTGGAGATTCAGCATTTGAAGAATCTCAAGTCTTTACCCAATGAGATATGCAACCTCACATCCATCCGATGTTTAATCATAAAGGATTGTCCAGGTATTGCATCCATACCAGAAGGAGGTTTTCCTTTAAACCTAAAAACACTTGAAATCAGTGGTGAAGGCTTGAGGCAGTCGATGTTAGAGTGGGGCCTTGACAGACTTACCTCACTTGAATCATTCGAAATTGGGGAGATATGTCTTCCGGATAATTTGCAGCTTCCGAAATCTCTAAAAAGTCTTACTATAACAAGGATGAGTAATTTGAAATCCATACCAAAAGTCCTCCTTCAAAACCTCCATTCTCTCGAGATTTTAGAAATTTCTTATTGCCCAAAGCTTCAATCCTTGACTAAGGAAGGCCTACCCACCTCACTTCAACAGTTTCGGCTCTATCACTGTCCCCTTATGGAAGAACGGTGCTTGGAGGAGAAAGGACACTATTGGCCTCTCATAGCCAACATCCCTTACGTTAAGCTTTCGAACTAAATTGGAGTCAGGTACTAGCAACTTATTCACAAACTCACCATATTCTTAAAAAAATCATATTTTGTTTGTTTTCTGTGCAATTTATATGTCAATTTGGTGCAGGTCTTGCAGTTGGTAAGGAGTTTTCTGTCATGCTTCAATCTTAACCTATTCGTGGTCCATTTGTGTGCAAAAACAATTTTGTATTTTGAGAAAAGATGTTTGATATGGGTTCTACCAGATTCTGGTATATCTATTGAAGCATAACCTGGATAATTCAGTTTTCTGATATGTGGGGTTGGCTGTTGGTGTTGTGAAGGGTATGCTCTCCATCCAGACCAATTGAAATGCCATCTATTCTAATTAGCTAGCTGATTGCTTGTTATTTTTGTTATACAAAGTTAATTTCACATCAATGAATAGGATGATGCACTCCCTTGATTGATATATATATATAGAAGCTATTGATTTTAGTTTCATTTTTTTTCCTTTCTTTCCATGATATACATCCAGCATTCGAAGATGAAGAGTCTGAAGATACCTAAAAGCTGAATCTGTTGTGAAACTACTTTTGTAGATTTTGGAAACCAAATGCAAGACATGTGGCATAGCGATAAGCTTTGGTTATTAAGTTAATTGTAAAGAACCAGAGTGGTCTTGAATAAAAACATTACTTTGTACTTTCATTGTAATATGACCCATGAATTCTTAAGTATGTATATGCTTAGAGTGTGTGTGATCAGTAACATGAATCCTCCATTGAACAAATCAGCTGAGGTTTCACCTTTAAATAATGTTTGAGTGATTCTGTTGAAGTGGCTTTGTATTGTCATGTATTCATGTGTGAAAGAATATATGGTTAGAGTATATATGGTGTTTTTGTTTAGACATTATATATCAGTCATAATCAAATTTTTATCTCAATGTTGGATTTAGGAGCATCACATTGATGTTTTGAGCTTTATTTACATAAGCATTTAGTTACTTCAGTAATGTGATTTTAATTATTTGTTTGTGAGAAGGTACATACTAAGTATATGTTATCATCAGTTTTGGATCATTGCATTCTACATTTGATTTAATCATATTTATACACACTTTCCATGTTAAAAACAAAAAAAGGTTAAAAATGTCATCAAGGGTGGGTAGATGTAAAGTATATAAGAAACATATTCTGCTTGCAAAATCACATCTATAGTTTTTGTCATTTTCTTACTACGATTGAAGTCAATCCCCTCCTGGAAATGCACTCAAGTTGAAGAAAAGCCTATTTTGAAGATTAATATCATGAATTTTTGCATTGCACTAAGGTGTACAATGAAACTTTACTGAGTGATACAAGCACTAACTAGAAAGAATTGCAAGATGGGTAGGTTTCTGATCTCTTTTGGACCAATTTATGCCCAATTGATGAAGTCATAATTTAGTTCAACAACAGGCAAGAACGATATTGATCTACAGATTAGTCGAAGAAATTCTAATTTTCTTTAGACTTGTGAAAGGAAATTTGGTGTTTAAACCTATCCAGAAAAGCTCCTCTGCGCCCTTCCTAGAGGAAATAAATAAGGTATTTGGAAAGCAAATTAGTAGCTGGGATCTTGGGAAGTTGAGCTGACTAGGTTTAGGAAGTTCCAACAACTCATCTTTTGAATCTTCTATCTCCACGTCTCACATCTATGAAAAGGCTCATGAGAATGACCAACAATGCATAAGCAAACTACAGACTGATCCTTTCATTTGGCATAGACTTGTGATTAACCATGGCTTATCATTGTCTTCAATTCTTTGTTTTATCACTTTTGCTGCCCACTTTGTTTTCAATGAACAGAAACAATTTCTTGATTGGGGGCTCGTAGTCTTCTGGAGACAATTGTACCAGAGATTGATACATTGCCTAAGATTGAATTGCTACCATTGCCTGTAATTCCAACTTTGCCAAAACCTGAGGTACCAAAGGTGCTAAAGCCCGAAGTCCCTAAACTGCCAGAGGTACCAAAACCTCAAGTGCCTGAGCTACCAAAGCCTGAACTCCCCAAGTTACCTGAGTTGCCAAAACTAGAATTGCCCAAGCTGCATGAGATTTCAAAGTTAGAGATGCTCGAACTACCAAAACTTGAAGTGCTTGAGAGGGATGACATAAAAAGAGGGATTGCATTGATCTTCTTCACTGCATCAGCTATTCATGGGGAACTGAGGAAAAAAAAAAAAGGGTCTGCGAGGCCTAGTAATGGGCTGCAAAATTGGTTAATTATTTTTACACTCCGCAGTCCACTCTCCCCCAACCAAAAATAAATAAATAAATAAATCTGGCATTGCCCAATAGGCTCAAATCCTCCTCTACATAGGCTAACAAGCTCAAAAACTCTTTTCGACTTATGCTGTAGCCTTCCTTACCTGCTTCCTCTTCGTTTATCTCTTCCCTCAATTCACTCACTCTTGGCTTCAACGGCGGACATGGCAGTTCTGATCTCTTCCCTTACAAAATCCCCACTTTGTTCCCATCATTTATCCCAATCCCCTCATGTGTCCTTGCCACGCAGCCTCAGACCTCTCCCCAAAGGACTCGGTAATGCAACCTTAACCGCCAAAGCCCAGAGTTTTGGTTTCTTCCAAGGCAGCGGGTTTGGATCGGACGATGACTCACCTTCTCCTCCGCCTTCACAGACTGGGGGTGGGCCGGGCTTAGCTGCCTTAGAAGATAAATAGGAGCCCCAGTGCCCACCGGGACTGCGACAGTACGAGCTATGGCAGTTTTGAGACCCGACATGTCAGAAGACCAAAGACTCGCCCTTACACAAAAGTACGAGGAGGTAATGCTATTATTGCTCGCCCCCCTACTTTCTTTTTCTTTTTATATTTCATGAAATTTAGACTACATATATAGTGGAGGTGGAGTTAAGCCTTGGGAGGGTCAGGGCAGGATGGTGTAATGTAATGCTAATATTCAACTTCATTGATTTTGTTATTTAGTTTCAAATTTCAGTTGTATTGGAAGATAAACTGTAAGATAAACTTGGCCAACGCTATTCAAATTGGCATATACCATAGGCATAAAGGAATGTTGCAAATTAAGTTGAAATTTGTACCTAACTGCATTTCATAACAAAAACGGGGACATTACATTCTAGTTAAATTAAACTAATTGCTCCTCCATTTTTATTGGACCCGTTGAGCAATGTAAATTTGTTGAATTGCTTGTTCAAACCATAGAGGCTTTGTCTGTTAAACATTGTAATGCAATTCTGTTGTAAAGCTAGTAACGATGATGATGATTTTGCAGCTGCTGGTAGCTGGGGGTGGCATGTATGTGGAGGTATTCAACAGAGGAGTCATCCCTTTAGCCTATAGCATCAAGAAGAAAAATAAAGATGGGGACTGTAACACTTACTAGTTACTTGGATGGCATTTACCTCCTCTTCACCTACTTCATAAAACCCGAGTCAATGGCAGTACTTGAGGAAACACCAAAAGCAGATGATGATGTTATCCGGTCATCCAGCTTCAAGGTTAGGAAGAGGAAGTATTAGTTTAGCCTCCCCTGTTCCCGTAAGGATGATGTGTAGCAAAGTAAGAGTTCCTTTTACTTTCTCATTTCATATGTTATGTATACTTTTTCATCCTTAAAAATACTCTGTAACATACCTTGATCATCAATTGCAATAGAAGGTAAAGGCTTAGGTAGCATCTTCATAGTTTCACATTTGTCCTTTGTTTGTCAAAGATAAGCTTGATTCCCATAATCATAACAAGTTTGTTCATTTTTTAACATTAGTTGATACTAGTATTTACCAATATTAGCTTGACTTGGAGTTGGTACCTGCTAATTTCAAAACATTGATTCTAGGGTCAAGGTTAGGGTTCAAATTTCTACATAACTAAGCACACTAACTTATTTTGCCAATGAAAAGAATTGGTTGAGAGTAGTGATAGACACCGTTGAAGTCCTTGGTTTTCTGCCTTAAACAAAACAGAAGAGTATGGTGTTTAGAACAGTTAATAGCCAAACCAAAGTCCCTAATTTGTGTCTTTCCTTGAGAATAAGTGAAGCTGCTATGTAAAGAAGAACCCCTCTCAGAAAGATGGCAGTGATAGTTACTTTGGTAGGCTTTTTCCGTCAACACTGAACAGCCAGCCTTGTAGCTGCCACTAGAAATCTGTATGTATCATTCCCATATGTAGTTTTGTTACTTCCTGTGTGGTTTTTTTTTTTTTTTTTTTTTTTTAATTAGGTATTTTTATTATGATCGTTATTGTTACTTGTTAGTTCTAGCATTAGCATACGAAGAGATTTTTTTTTAAAAAAAAAAGTTTCCTTTAATTTCATCGTCAACTTTAATATTGGACCAAATTATTTCCTTTAATTTCATTATCACTTGTTAGGCTGGCCAAGGTCATATTTCAGGTTGAACCATTAACAAAAGATACGGCTTAGGGTTTAAAAGTGACTCATTCCTTCTTCATTTTTTTTTTTTTTTTT